GGCTGCAGAGGCAGCTCCCACGGGCTGCAGAGGCAGGCACGGCTGCAGGGGCAGCGCCCACGGGCTGCAGGGGCAGCGCCCGGCTGCAGGGGCAGGCACAGCTGCTCGGGAGGGCGGCGCGCGGGCTGCAGGGGCAGCTCCCACGGGCTGCAGAGGCAGGCACGGCTGCAGGGGCAGGCACAGCTGCAGGGGCAGGCACGGCTGCAGTGGCAGCACGGTCGCAGGGGCAGCACGCGGGCTGCAAGGGCAGCGCGGCCGCAGGGGCAGCTAAGAAAAAAAATTCAGTTAGGGCAGGGCGGAACGTTCGGTGGGCCCAGGAACGATTCTGCTCTAATACCATGTGAGAATAAGAACGAGGAATGGTTGAACTAGAAATGTGATGGGTACAAATAGGGAAACCTAGAAAAGCTGTACCCCCTATTGTCTAACCCACTACAGCCTAAACAGGCTATACCATATGTTTGACATGATGGCGCAGGCCAGAATCTCAGCGAGGCGCAGCCAGCGGCGGGAGACGAGCGCGCAGGCGAGCAGCGGCAGAGTGGGGACGACGGCGGTGCTCTTTGCCTTGAAGCAGGAGCATGTGGGGTCCTTGCAGGGCAACTGCTGCTGCTGTTTCTTATAGCCCCAGCGATCGCGGGTGGTAATGGTTATGGCGTTAGGGCACGTCTCTGCTGAGTATGGAGAGCCGGTGCTATTTGCATTAGTGGTACTTGTTGCATCGCCGATTGCGGCCGTCGATCCTTGTACGGCTTCGCAGTTGCTGCTGCTGGCGGTGCTGGTGCTGATGACGTGGTGTATGATTTTGAGCAAGACGACATCTGGCAGCCGATCAATGTCGCAAGAACACGTGATACAACCAAAAGCCGTATGTTACAACGCAGTGGCAGGCGTACAATCTGAAGGATTGCAAAGGATCGAGATGCGAGGCGGCGGCGGCGGCTGCGGTGATATGGAGCGGCTCGTCCATTGATGAAAGAGGGAATGGTCAAGGTTGGAAGGATGGACGAACGGATATGCAAGCAAATGAGAGGTTTCCTAACGCATGTTTCAGCTAGGATAAGAAGGTTAATATTGCTATCCACGATGTGCGAACGTACGCGCAACGTGGTGGAAAGGGAGGTGTCTGGGGCTTGCGCTGCCTAGATTCAAAACGAAAATTTGGAGAATGAAAGGCCGAAAATGGCCATTTCTACTTCGCTCTGGCGAACCTACCAGACACGTAACAAAATGGCGCGAAAACTAGGTGTATCCGTTAGGCGCTGGCAAAGCAGGTTCCACGTCATTCATTTCTTAGTACCCCAAACCACCTTTTCGTCTATTGATGTCGCTGATCGAAGAGCTGGTGTTGGTTTAGGAAGAGTGGGGTTTGGCCGAAAGGACTCCAAGGGTTGGTTTACCAGACCACTGTTACAAGAAAGACAAAGATGAATAGCTATAATACAGATACCAAGGACAAACAGAAATCAAATCTATCATACCTAGGGCTCAGGGTAAAATACAATTTTTACCCCGTTTTACCACTTTTGACTTACCCTGATCCAGGCAGTCTAACTGGATTGCTAGTCTTTCTCAAAAATAGTTGTTTTCGTTTTTACCCTTTGGAAAACAGTGTACGAGTTTTCTCCCCTCATTAGACAGGGCAGCGTTAGGGTTACACTGGAACCAAATCCTTCTTAGGGTACATTCCTGTATCGACACAAGTGTCTCGATGCCCTTTTTCCCGAGTCTCGTCTACACATTTAGTCAACATCACGTCTCAAAATGTGAATGTATTAATGTATTACGACACTAGGCGATCAGGCGACATGTACAGTTGTGCGCATCTGATTCGGCGCCCCCATTTTGCTCGTGGCAACCTGATGACGCGCAGGGTCGCTTTCTGGTCGTTTTTGGGCTGCCCAAGGCCTCGCTGGTTTTTTTCCCGCGTGAAATTTTGCATTGTGTGGGGTGACCAGGTGCATGTGGTCGGGTCGGGCGAGACCTTGACATTTCGAACCGCGTGCAAATTGTTGAAAGTTAAATGGCATCGTGCAACTCGTCTGCGACTTTAGCGCGTTCCACGCAAACCAATGAAAAAATACACCTAAAGTCGCGGAAGGGCGACACGCGTTTGTGACACAATACATTCTATGCTAAATTTGGGTGTCACAAAGGGATTGAGACACTTGTGTCGGTCCAGGAATGTACCCTTGGCAAGGATTCCCCCGGCTTCACGGCGGCCTACACGTAACGCACCGCCGCAACGCGCTATGTCATGTTCATCACACGTGCGTAGGGAAAATAATTCCCACCGCTGCGCGACAGAGTACCACTGATAGTTTTGGCATCATATCTGCCATCATGGCAGATAACATTGCCAACAATACAGGGCAGCGCGCCAAGGCTGGAATGGAACTGCAGCCACCCGTGCGAGCTGTCCAGCACAGCACTTAGACGTCCAGCGCGAGACGAACCATGCATGCACCCCGCGCGCTGCGAGGGAGGTTGAGGTGAGTCGTTTCCCAATGACACCCCATCATCTTCAGCACCTTCTTTCACTGCGTAGAGTTCCTTCCACCTCCACGACTACGTCTTGAGGCGTTTTCCTATCATGCCTGACGAGCAACAACCAGATCCTCCCGATGGTCGCTGGAACGGGCTCTCCGTTCTCGGTGTTCTCCCCCCCCCCCTCTGTTTTGGGATTACAGTGTTCCTGTCGCCCAGGTGCCGCGTGCTCCCTCCCTTGTACGGCACGACGGGATCTACCGCTAGTTACCTGCGCCTGCCCGTAGAAAGTCTGGGCCGACGTCACCTGGCGAAAGTGGGCCCTCTGGTCGAGCGACAGGTGAGCGCGGGCAGCAAGCTGGGCGACAGTGTCGCGTGCCGTCCACCGTGTGCAGGCAATGCGGTCCGCCCAGTACCCCCGCTGCACTTCCTCCCTTGCGTTAGCAGCAGGCTCAGTTGGAGTCGCGGGGGCCTGAAGGGACCTCGACGTGTGTTCGAAGATGGAGACGCCATCCATAATGATACGCTGGAGATATAGGTGCAGGCGCTCTAGCCACGACTCAAACTCGAGAGGGCGCCCGTCTGCGTCAACTGCTAGGACAGTGATAGTGGCCATGACAGGAACTAGGTCAAGCTTCCGTACTAGGAAGTAGCTGCAGATTTAGGCACCAGCGGCAGTTTAGGGCGCAGTGGGAGAACGAACAGCATGGCAGTAGGTGAGTGGATCGGCAGCAGACAGAGCGGTAGCGTGGCACAGCGCGGCAGTAGGCAGTGCGGCGCGGCAGCAAGGCAGCGCGCATCGGCAGGGCAGCGCGCGCGGCAAGGCAGGGCAGCGCGCGTGCGGCAGGGCAGCGAGCGCGGCAGAAGGGCAGCGCGCGCGCGTGTGGCAGGGCAGCGCGCGGCGGCAGGGCAAGGCAGCGCGCGCGGCAGAGCAGCGCGCGCGGCAAGGCAGCGCGCTTACGGGCAGCTGCGCGCTCACGGGCAGCTGCGCGCGAGGTAGCGGCGGCAGCGCAACGGCGCACGGGCAGGCGCGGCGCATGGGGAGCTGCGCGCAAGGTAGCGGCGGCAGGGTAGCGCGCGCGGGCAGGCGTGGCACCCAGGGCAGCTCACGGGCAGGCGCAGGTAACTAGCGGTAGGTACGGACCTAACCTAGCGACTGATACCATGTTAAGAAGTGTAAAAAGCGGAATGGTGTTCACTAGCACGGAGGGGGGTACAAGTACAAACCATAACAAGTGTTGTACCCGATATTGTGTTCCCTTATTAAAGCCTAACAAGAATGTTCATAATTTGACATTTTTACCCTGTTACTGTCAGGCTTTGAAAATCATTAGCCTGTATTAGTGAGTCTAAAAATCAAATACCATACCAATCAGGATTGGCCTGGCTAGCGAGGATGGCATAGAACGATTTTTGGGCCCTGATGGGAGGCACATTTTTTGTGTGTACTGTACGTGAATTGTTTGCTTTCCAATAGAGAGAAATATTCTGGAGAATCAGGCTCGGTGGTCAAAATAAAAGAAATAGACTAAATACTATGGGAGAATCACCAGGGTAAAAATATTCATAGGCTGATTTGGCAGGGGTAACTGGGAAAAAGCGGCCTATGGTCAGGGCAAAAAGGGTAAAATACCCTGATAAAATAGGCCCTGTGCAATCTAGCTCTATCTGTAGCAATCCTAACAGCTCGACTAATTTATTTCGTCAAAAGCAGTTTTCTTTCCTCCTAGCGGGGATGATTAAAATGTATATGACCAGGCATACATAGAGTGAGCGATGATTCGTCCCGCTGACAGTTGCTGTCGAGCTGCTCGATTGTGAATCAGCTCTACTACTCAGCCGCCATTCACTCACGAGTCACCACGCACACAGGTCATTCCCTGTCCCTCCCGACCCTTCTCGGACGCGACGCCTGACAGCGCGAAGGGCTCGCGTTCGAGCCCCCACACCGAACGGTTACTGAAAGTGGAATGCGGCGATCCGCTGGTTGCCACCCGATGGGGCCAAGCCCGTCCGTGGCTGCGTCGACGCGTGTGGCTCTGCGCGTCACCGCCACGCGTCGGTTCTTGAAAGCGCACCACATCTCCCTAGAACGCGAGTTCAGGCAGCGGTGGCCGGGTGCCTGGGAGGGTGCGAGGGGGAGGCGGAGTGATGGGGGCATGTGGCGCGGTGAAAGGAGTACCGTGCTACGCCGCGCTCTTCCGCGCGATGGGCCTTGCTGCCATCGCCGCGCTGTTCCGCGCTACGCCACCTGCAAGTGGCCGCTCTGTCCCTCCGCTCGCTGCACGCCTCAAAAGCGGCCTGAAGCTGGCGTAAAGTTGGCGTGAAGCTGGAATGAAGTTGGCGGGTCGCCCAGGGCACTGCTTCAAGGGCACAGGACCGAGTCTTGAGACGTCTCAAAAGGCCGTGCAGGACACGGGTCAAGGACACGGATAAAGGGCACGGGACCGGGTAGTCACTGCCTCTTCTTGGACCGCTTCTTTCGTCCGCCGCTAGCCGTTCTGCGGCCCGCCATGGCTCACGCGCACGCGCGCGGGGCATCCGAGCAGCGCGCACAAGCAGCTGCTGCCGCGCTGAGCAGCTCGCGGAGTAGCGCGCGCTGGCCCCGCCGGCAGCGACCGCGGAGAGCGCAGCACTGCGCGCGCGCAGTGGCAGTACGGCTGCTGATGGTGCCGCTGGCCGCGGCGGCGCTGGTGGGGCGCATGGCGGTGGGCGCGCGCGGCAGTGATGACGTGGCTGTGACGCGCGCAGGTGATTCGCAAGGTTGGTGGTGCGACGGACGGGTGAGGCGGAGGGAGGGAGGGAGAAGAAAGGGTAGCGTGGTGTTGAGAAAGACGTATGGAGGAGGGTACGAGCTAGGGATGAAGGGTACGAGCTAGGGATGAAGGGTACGAGCTAGGGATGAAGGGTACGAGCTAGGGATGAAGGGTACGAGCTAGGGATGAAGGGTACGAGCTAGGGATGAAGGGTACGAGCTAGGGATGAAGGGTACGAGCTAGGGATGAAGGGTACGAGCTAGGGATGAAGGGTACGAGCTAGGGATGAAGGGTACGAGCTAGGGATGAAGGGAGCAAACGAGGTGCGTATGGGGCGTGCGAGCGAGCGAGGTGAGTAGTTAGTCAGCAGGGGGGGCCATCCCTCTGGCAGAGGTGGCGAAGCGAAACGCGGGTCTCAGGTGCTGGCAGAAGGGATGGGGCGCGGTGCGGTGCAGGGGGGGGTGTGCTGTGCTTGGTGGTGCTGGAGAGCGTGGGGCGGCGGAGTGAGAGAGCGGCTGGTGAGTGAGTGGGTGGGCCTGTAGGGGTCGTGCTGGCAGCCTGTGTTCATTCAGGGCTGGCGCTCCTGTGCCCTCCCCTTTTTTTCCCTTCCACCCCCTGTGTCCCCGCTCTCACCTCCTTGTCATCTCCTCCCTCTCACCGCCTCCCTCTGTGCCAGCAACCAGCAGAGCCCGCAGCCTCATCGCGGCGCCCAGCAGCCTCATCGCGGCGCCCAGCAGCCTCATCGCGGCGCCCAGCAGCCTCATCGCGGCGCCCAGCAGCCTCATCGCGGCGCCCAGCAGCGGGTGTCTCTTTCGCTCACCTCTAGAACTCTCTCCCCCTTCCCTCCCTGCCTCCCCCAGCTGCAGCAGCAGCAGCACTGCTCGATGCACTCAATATCACGCGGTCGCCCATCGCAGCGCTCTTTGTGTTTGGCGACTCCTTGGTTGACGTGGGCAACAACAACTACGGCACGTACCGCTTCCTGCGTGCCGACCTGCCGCCCTACGGCATCAACTACGTGGAGGCGTCGGGGCGCTTCTCCGATGGCCGCCTGCAGATCGACTTCCTCGGTGCGTGGCGCTGCCGGTATGGTGCGTGCAGCCGCTTGTGAGGGGCGGTTGTGAGGCGCCTGGGGGCATGGTGTGGCGGGGGTGATTGAGTCGCCTGCAGATCGGCTTCCTCGGTGCGTGCCGCTGCCATGGCGGTACGGCTTGTGAGGGCGGCGGTGCGGGCGGGTTGCACGATGGAGGAACGGAGGAGAGGGAAGGGGAGCAGGAAGGTTTGTGAGGATAGCAGAGTGGGCAGGTGGACGGAGGCATCTCACATGATCACCTGTGTGGGCTTCTGGCAGCCTGCCATTTTTACTTCGCCTCCCCTCCCTTCCTTCCATAAAATCCCCTCCCTCCCTTCCCCCCCTCCCCCCCCTCCGTCCCCCCCCTCCCCCCCCCTCCGGCCCCCCCCTCCCCTCCCTCCCCTCCCTTCCCTCCCTCCTCTCCATCCTCTCCCCAACCCCCTCCCTCCCCTTCCTACCCTCCCCCCCTCCCCCCCCCTCCCCCCCCTCCCCCCCCTCCCACCACTTCCTTCCCCCCATCCCGCACTGCCCCCCATCTCCCCCAGCGCGCTATCTGGGGCTGCCCTCGCCGCCCCCAGTGCTACAGCCGGGGCGCAGCGCCACTCGCGGGCTCAACTTCGCCAGTGCGGGGGCGGGCGTGCTGGACTCCACCAACCCGGGCCAGGTGCGAGCTGGCAACGTGGGGCAGGCGGGGCCCACCCTGGTGGATCGGGCCCAGCCTGGTGGGTCGGGCCCAGCCTGGTGGATCGGGGCTGGCCTGGTGGATCGGGGCTGGGCTGGTGGATCGGGGCTGGGCTGGTGGGTCGGGGCTGGGCTGGTGGGTCGGGGCTGGGCTGGTGGATCGGGGCTGGGCTGGTGGATCGGGGCTGGGCTGGTGGATCGGGGCTGGGCTGGTGGGTCGGGGCTGGGCAGGTGGGTCGGGGCTGGGCTGGTGGGTCGGGGCTGGGCCGGTGGGTCGGGGCTGGGCTGGTTAGCACGTGGTGGGAGAGTTGTGAGGTGGAGGAAGAGAGGAGTCGGGCGGGGATGAGATGCCAGCAGTGCTGGGCTCTGCGCACCCACACAGCACGCCTCTGTGGATGCCAACCAAGGCAGAGTGGATGGGATGTGGCCTCTCGCTCCTTGCTTTCACCTCTGCCCACCACAGCCCTCCTTCAATTCAACCCCCTTCTTTCTCACTCATTCTGCTTCACGCTGCTTGCGTTTCTCCCCCTCCCCCTCTCGCTGCTCCCTCCCTATTATTTCGTCTCTCGTCAGGCGTTCCCGCTGTCCTTCCAGCTGGGAAAGTTCCGGGAAGTGCACGCAGCGGTGGTGGGGCAGGGCAGTGGGAGCAACGAGTCTGGCGCCACGACTTGGAATGGTGGTGATGCTGGGAGCGGGGGGGGCGCCACCAGCAGCAGCAGCAGCAGCAGCAGCAGCAGCAGCAGCAGCAGCAGCAGCAGCAGCAGCAGCAGCAGCAGCAGCAGCAGCAGCAGCAGCAGCAGCAGCAGCAGCAGCAGCAGCAGCAGCAGCAGCAGCAGCAGCAGCAGCGGGGAGAGCTTGCCAGACAAGAGCGTACGTGCACGGATGATCCGCGGCGCCTCGCACATCATCACATTACCCGCTCTGCTCTGCACTCTGCTCTCTTCTATTCCAGCACCGCACTTGCCACGTTAATTATTCCTCCCAGATCTCCATCCCCCACTTCTGCCCTCCTTCCCCCCACATCCCTCCCTCCACCTCTCCCCTCCCCTCTCCAGGCGCTCGCCTCAGCTCTCTACGTGGTGCAGATAGGCTCCAACGACTACCTCTACCTGCTGTCGCAGCTCAACATGGGGCTCGTCCCCAACATCCCCACCTCCCTCCCCCCCCGCAACGCCACTCGCCCTCGTCTGTTCAGCAACGCCTCCTCTCTTCCGCCCATGCCCGACGCCTCCTCGCTGCCACGCATGCCCAACACCACCGCTCTGCCACCGCTTCCCTTCAACTCCACAGCCCTATCATCCGCCGCCATAGCCTCTGCTGCTTCTGCCGCTTCGGCCGCTTCTGCCGCCTCTGCTGCTTCTGCCGCCTCTGCTGCTTCTGCCGCCTCTGCCGCCTCTGCTGCTTCTGCCGCCTCTGCTGCTTCTGCCGCCTCTGCCGCCTCTGCTGCTTCTGCCGCCTCTGCCGCCTCTGCTGCTTCTGCCGCCTCTGCTGCTTCTGCCGCCTCTGCTGCTGCCGGTGCGAGCAACTCGTTCGATCCGACAAGGTCAAGAGAAGCCGCCCGCCTGCGCAGGGCGGGGACGCGTGGCACGCTCCCATTGGAGGAGGCAGTGAGCCGCCCGCCACAGTCGGTGACGGACAGGGTGGGTGCGGTGGGGCGGTTCTCAGCGGCGCTGGGAGGCACCATTGCTGCGTCCACCCAGGGCACCGTGGATGCCGTGCAGGTGAGGAAGGGAAGGGTGGAGGAGGCGTGTGAGGAAGGGTAGGGTGGAGGAGGCGTGTGAGGAAGGGTAGGGTGGAGGAGGCGTGTGAGGAAGGGTAGGGTGGAGGAGGCGTGTGAGGAAGGGTAGGGTGGAGGAGGCGTGTGAGGAAGGGTAGGGTGGAGGAGGCGTGTGAGGAAGGGTAGGGTGGAGGAGACGTGTGAGGAAGGGTAGGGTGGAGGAGGCGTGTGAGGAAGGGTAGGGTGGAGGAGGCGTGTGAGGGAGGGTAGGGTGGAGGAGGCGTGTGAGGAAGGGTAGGGTGGAGGAGGCGTGTGAGGAAGGGTAGGGTGGAGGAGGCGTGTGAGGAAGGGTAGGGTGGAGGAGGCGTGTGAGGAAGGGTAGGGTGGAGGAGACGTGTGAGGAAGGGTAGGGTGGAGGAGGCGTGTGAGGAAGGGTAGGGTGGAGGAGGCGTGTGAGGAAGGGTAGGGTGGAGGAGACGTGTGAGGAAGGGTAGGGTGGAGGAGGCGTGTGAGGAAGGGTAGGGTGGAGGAGGGTTGGGTTGAAAAATGCAGTGCAGGTGAGGGGTGCATCTGGGGGGGGTGGAGGTGGCAGCACGTGAGTCATGAAGGCAGGTCGCATCGTGCTGCTGCACCCAGGGCACCGTGCATGCTGTGCAGGTGAGGGGTTGGGGGGGAGGTGCAGCGTGGATGTTGTTGAGGTGAGGGAGTGGCGAGGCACGTTTGCCGCCCTGGGGCGGTTCTCCCAGGCGCTGCCGGGCACCGTCGCTGCTTCCACCGTGGATGCTGTGCAGGTGAGGGGGGGAAGGCACGTGGGGAATCGACAGCAGATGGGAAGCCATGTCCAAGTGAGCAGGGGGGAGGCATGTGCAAGTGAGCAGGGGGGAGGCATGTGCAAGTGAGCAGGGGGGAGGCATGTGCAAGTGAGCAGGGGGGAGGCATGTGCAAGTGAGCAGGGGGGAGGCATGTGCAAGTGAGCAGGGGGGAGCCATGTGCTTTATGTTGTGCAGGGGAAGGGGGGGAAGGAAGGCACTGTGGATGCCGTGCTGGTGTAGGGGTGGGGAGGGAGGCATGTGATGTGGCAGCACGCTGTGTTCTGCCCGTGCTCTCCCCTCCTGTTACAATGCGTGCCGCTGCCTTAGGAGGGGATAGGGACTGAACTTCAATCTCGGCTTCTCGGTCAAAATCACCGTCGTGCTGCTGCTCTGTGCCTCATGCTGCTCTGTGCCTCATGCTGCTCTGTGCCTCATGCTGCTCTGTGCCTCATGCTGCTCTGTGCCTCATGCTGCTCTGTGCCTCATGCTGCTCTGTGCCTCATGCTGCTCTGTGCCTCATGCTGCTCTGTGCCTCATGCTGCTCTGTGCCTCATGCTGCTCTGTGCCTCATGCTGCTCTGTGCCTCATGCTGCTCTGTGCCTCATGCTGCTCCAACCCCTACCTCTCCCCCCCAGGCCCTGTACAGCATGGGGGCGCGGCGCTTCCTGGTGTACCTGCTGCCGCCCATCACATGCGCGCCCACACTCATGCAGGCCTTGGGCCAGCGCACGTGCTCCGCGTCGCCGCTCAGCGCCGTGCCGCTCGCCCACAACGCGCTGCTCTCAGCGGGGCTGAACGCACTGCAGGCGCGCCTGCCGGGCATCGTCATCCTCACTGCGGACGTTGGGGGGTTTGTGACGCGCGCTGTTGAGCAGCCAGAGGCGCTGGGTGAGTGCGGGAATGAGAGAGCGGATGGGGAGTGGATGGTCTTTCAGTGTGCTTGTACCGGTGGTGGCATTTGTGGCCTGGGTGTCATTTCTGGTTGTGGTTTGTGAGAAGGAGGTGTAGTCAAGAATTTAGGTGGATGAGCATTTTGAAGCGAACAGTGGTGAGGTGTGGGGAGTTGGAATAGCCGATAACGTTGACGGTAGTGTGCACTCGTGCCTTGCCCATCACACTTGCCTTACCTGTTTTTTACCAATCGGGTCATTTTCATCCCCTTTCCCTACACTTCCCTCTCTTCCTCCCGTCCACGCCCCTCACCCTTCCCTCCGTGCAGGCTTCACCAGCGGTCCGGAGGCGTGCTGTGGCGCCCCTGCACCACTGAACGGGCTGGTGCAGTGTGGGCGCACGGCGCTGGTGAACGGCACCCCCACGCCGTACACGCTGTGCCGCCGCCCCTCCCAGCACGTCTTCTGGGACGCCTTCCACCCCACCCAGCGCCTCAACCACCTCCTCGCCGCCCGCGTGTGGCGTGGCGCTGAGGGCAGATGGGGTGATGATGATGGGGATGAGGGGGATGAAGGGGATGGTGCGGATGAAGGGTTGGGTGATGTGGGTGAGGATGATGGTGGCAGTGGAGTTGTAATGCGTCCTGTTGGGCTGAGAGCACTCGCAAGATATTTGGTGAGATAGAATGACTAGCACAGAGCTAAGCTACTGCCAAGACAAGAACACCCCTGACAAGATACTTTGAGTTCAGTGTGATTTCATTTTGTACAATGTTTTATCTAATGCACTATACTATTTTGTAACTTTCAATTTGCGATTTGACCGACAAATGTGTCGTTTGTGCAACCCCCAGTGCTGACGTGTCACTGCCTCCCCAATCCTTCCAGTCCACACGATGCGAGATGCATGTCGCAGCAAAAACTGTTCCGCGTCGCGGTGGGACACATCAGCAGACTCGAGCATCTCTGAATTTCACCCCTAAAATAGACGCAGGCAGACATTTGTGGCTCCCATTCGCGCTTCGATCTGCGCCTCAAACTCTGTGTGAGTACAGGGTGTGTGCTGCCCCCAGCCCGATCCAACGCAGGACATTTTCGTTCGTCCCACCCCCATGTCTTGCTGTTTTCCATCCCTCCCTGCCTTCGAAACGGTCTGAGGGTGTGCTCTCACAAGCGCATATTTGAGAGGATTGGCTTTTGGTCTTAGCTAAGTACCGAGCTGATGATGGAAGGTCAGCAAAACCTTCGATCATAAATGTAAATGAATGGTGATCGGTAATCTACGTTAATACAGTCCAGAGATAATTCGCAAATAGAGTCGGTAATAGAGGACTCCTGGTCCGCATTGTGCTAACCACCATAACCTACTGGGCTACTGGGCTAGAATGTGGATCTGAACGCGCCCTCGACGGGCATTTCACCATTTGCTTCCCCTTGGACCCCCACAGTTCACTCCACCTAGATTCTGTGGTGTTGCGTCATTCCTGTGGTTGGCTGGATGCCCTATCCGAACCGAAGCCCATTTGAACTGTACGATCGACCGTCATCGCAGGGGAAGCTCCGCTGCTTGGAGCCCCGCAGCGCCGCATGCACCATACAGTGCGCTGCTTGTGCTTGTCGGTTCGACTTTCCCAGCTTGCTCTGCACGCCCCTTCGAGCTCAGTGCACCTGCTGCCAGCTGGAGGCTTGTTCGTCGTGCAACAGCCTTGCCGCTTGCCGACTAAGCTTTCCTCTGTGCAATGACGCACCGCGCTCACAAGCCGCAGCGATAGACCGGCACGAGCAGCTGTCGTTCTTTCGCGCAGCGCGCCATCGACGGGCAGGCCAGCGGCGATCGCACCTCGTGGTCGCAGGGCCGCCGCGATCACCGCCGCACTCACCTCCTCGTGGGGCTGCTGTTGCAAGCCGCGCAGGATGACTCATCTTCGTCTACACCGCTTGTTTCAGTCACGCGCGGGGCCGCGCATTGCCCTCTTGCTCATAGTAGCCGTAGCGCACGTCGCGGCGGGTCCACTTGCGACGCTCCGTCGCGTGGAGATCGTCTCAGGCGATACAGCCGCCACGGCTGAAAGAGCCGGCACGCCTGCTACAGCCGTATCCAGCCATCGCCGGAGTGCGCTAAAGACAGCCGTCGTCACGTTGTCGCCGCCGCCACCCGTAGCGCCTTCGACTCCTAGTGGACTCTCGGCGCCGCCGGCCGCGCCGCGACCTCCCGGTTCCAGCGGGAACGCGTCGGCAAGCGAGTACGGCCCGGAGTTCCCGCCGACGTACGATCAACGTGAGTTGCGGCGCTTCCTTTTCCGTTATGATCTTGTCGCCATTGGGAGTCGCACCCACAGTGTGTCAATTGCGACGCGCACATGCTTATCTCGTTACAGTTTCGCTCAGCTGAACAAATCCGTCGGCTGGAGAGCCACATTCAATCTCAAACCGCCCGAATCGGCAAACGGTCAAAACCAGCAAAGTCTCACAAAAGTCGCCCTTGTCTGTGCGCGTGCGTGTGTGCGCGTGCGTGTGCGCGTGTGCGCGTGCATGGGCGTGCGCTTGTGGGGATGGCAGGGCTGGCGCTGGCGGAGGTGCGCGTGGCGATGGACCCTCAGGGCTTGGAGCTGGAGTCGTGGGACTCGGACGTCGGATGGGCCTTCTGGATGGGCGTTGAATGCGACCAGTGGAACCAAGTCGTCAAACTGTACGCGTTATACGCTGCCTCTCCATATGATTTAGACATACTCGAAATACCGGTTAAGCGTGCAGTGCCAGGACCGGAACGAACCGTCACGCTGTAAGCGCTATACCCCATTTCCCATTCCCCCATTCCTCCATTCCCCATTCCCCCATTCCTCCGATCCCCATTCCCCCATTTCTCATTCCCCCATTCCCCATTTTCCCGCCCGCGCTCATTCCCCATCAATCTTGCGCAGGTCGCTGGGCGGCAACGAGCTGACGGGGAGCATCCCCGAAGGCATCTCGCACCTCACCGCGCTGGAACACCTGTGAGCACCTCACCGCGCTGCAACACCTGTGAGCACCTCACCGCGCTACAACACCTGTGAGCGCCGTGCCAGCCGGCTGTAGCTCACCTGTGAGCGCCATGCGAGCCGGCTGTAGCTCACCTGTGAGCGCCATGCGAGCCGGCTGTAGCTCACCTGTGAGCGCCATGCGAGCCGGCTGTAGCACCTGTGAGCACCATGAGAGAGGCTGAGAGTCCAGGCGAGAGGCTGTATCCAACTCGAAACGGCTGACCATGGGGCACGTGGCATGGAGCATGTGGCATGGAGCATGTGGCATGGCGCATGTGGCATGGAGCATAGAGAAGAGACATAGTGCTTGCTTTCGCACCCCCGACCATCCTTCTCTCCCTTCCCTTTCCTTCCACCCCCTCCCCCCCCCACCCTCCCACTTCTGTTTCCGATCATCCCGTTTCTGTGCGGTGCGCGCGGCGTGGCGTGGCGGGGCGGGTGGCAGGGACGTGAGGGGCAACCAGCTGGCGGGGTCGCTGGTGGGGGAGATCGCGCGCCTGCCCGCCCTCACCTACCTGTCAGTGCCGCCCCCTCTGCACATGCTTGTCCGCCCTCACATTCCTTCCATGCACGCCCCCCACGCCACCACGCCTCCTACCCGCCTCCTCCCCCTTCTCACCCCCATCTCCCCCTCCTTCCCCCATGCCCCACTCCCCCATGCCCCTCCCCCCCATGCCCCCCCCGTGCGTCCCCCCATGCCCACAGAGACCTGTCCAACAACCGCATCAACGGCTCGCTGCCCAGCTCCCTCTCTAACCTCACCGCCCTGCGCCACCTGTATGTGCCCCGCACTCGTCCATGCCCCACGCGCCTGTACTGCCCCACGCGCCTGTACTGCCCCACGCGCCTGTACTTCCCCACGCGCCTGTACTTCCCCACGCGCCTGTACTTCCCCACGCGCCTGTACTTCCCCACGCGCCTGTACTGCCCCACGCGCCTGTACTGCCCCACGCGCCTGTACTGCCCCACGCGCCTGTACTGCCCCACGCGCCTGTACTTCCCCACGCGCCTGTACTTCCCCACGCGCCTGTACTTCCCCACGCGCCTGTACTTCCCCACGCGCCTGTACTTCCCCACGCGCCTGTACTTCCCCACGCGCCTGTACTGCCCCACGCGCCTGTACTGGCCCACGCGCCTGTACTGCCCCACGCGCCTGTACTGCCCCACGCGCCTGTACTGCCCCACGCGCCTGTACTGCCCCACGCGCCTGTACTGCCCCACGCGCCTGTACTGCCCCACGCGCCTGTACTGCCCCACGCGCCTGTACTGCCCCACGCGCCTGTACTGCCCCACGCGCCTGTACTGCCCCACGCGCCTGTACTGCCCCACGCGCCTGTACTGCCCCACGCGCCTGTACTTCCCCACGCGCCTGTACTTCCCCACGCGCCTGTACTTCCCCACGCGCCTGTACTGCCCCACGCGCCTGTACTGCCCCACGCGCCTGTACTGCCCCACGCGCCTGTACTTCCCCACGCGCCTGTACTTCCCCACGCGCCTGTACTTCCCCACGCGCCTGTACTGCCCCACGCGCCTGTACTGCCCCACGCGCCTGTACTGCCCCACGCGCCTGTACTTCCCCACGCGCCTGTACTTCCCCACGCGCCTGTACTTCCCCACGCGCCTGTACTTCCCCACGCGCCTGTACTGCCCCACGCGCCTGTACTGCCCCACGCGCCTGTACTGCCCCACGCGCCTGTACTGCCCCACGCGCCTGTACTTCCCCACGCGCCTGTACTTCCCCACGCGCCTGTACTTCCCCACGCGCCTGTACTTCCCCACGCGCCTGTACTTCCCCACGCGCCTGTACTTCCCCACGCGCCTGTACTGCCCCACGCGCCTGTACTGGCCCACGCGCCTGTACTGCCCCACGCGCCTGTACTGCCCCACGCGCCTGTACTGCCCCACGCGCCTGTACTGCCCCACGCGCCTGTACTGCCCCACGCGCCTGTACTGCCCCACGCGCCTGTACTGCCCCACGCGCCTGTACTGCCCCACGCGCCTGTACTGCCCCACGCGCCTGTACTGCCCCACGCGCCTGTACTGCCCCACGCGCCTGTACTGCCCCACGCGCCTGTACTTCCCCACGCGCCTGTACTGCCCCACGCGCCTGTACTGCCCCACGCGCCTGTACTGCCCCACGCGCCTGTACTGCCCCACGCGCCTGTACTTCCCCACGCGCCTGTACTTCCCCACGCGCCTGTACTTCCCCACGCGCCTGTACTGCCCCACGCGCCTGTACTGCCCCACGCGCCTGTACTGCCCCACGCGCCTGTACTGCCCCACGCGCCTGTACTGCCCCACGCGCCTGTACTTCCCCACGCGCCTGTACTTCCCCACGCGCCTGTACTGCCCCACGCGCCTGTACTTCCCCACGCGCCTGTACTGCCCCACGCGCCTGTACTGCCCCACGCGCCTGTACTGCCCCACGCGCCTGTACTTCCCCACGCGCCTGTACTGCCCCACGCGCCTGTACTTCCCCACGCGCCTGTACTGCCCCACGCGCCTGTACTTCCCCACGCGCCTGTACTTCCCCCACGCGCCTGTACTTCCCCACGCGCCTGTACTTCCCCACGCGCCTGTACTGCCCCACGCGCCTGTACTGCCCCACGCGCCTGTACTTCCCCACGCGCCTGTACTTCCCCACGCGCCTGTACTTCCCCACGCGCCTGTACTTCCCCACGCGCCTGTACTGCCCCACGCGCCTGTACTGCCCCACGCGCCTGTACTGCCCCACGCGCCTGTACTTCCCCACGCGCCTGTACTTCCCCACGCGCCTGTACTTCCCCACGCGCCTGTACTTCCCCACGCGCCTGTACTTCCCCACGCGCCTGTACTTCCCCACGCGCCTGTACTTCCCCACGCGCCTGTACTTCCCCACGCGCCTGTACTTCCCCACGCGCCTGTACTTCCCCACGCGCCTGTACTTCCCCACGCGCCTGTACTTCCCCACGCGCCTGTACTTCCCCACGCGCCTGTACTTCCCCACGCGCCTGTACTTCCCCACGCGCCTGTACTTCCCCACGCGCCTGTACTTCCCCACGCGCCTGTACTTCCCCACGCGCCTGTACTTCCCCACGCGCCTGTACTGCCCCACGCGCCTGTACTGCCCCACGCGCCTGTACTGCCCCACGCGCCTGTACTTCCCCACGCGCCTGTACTTCCCCACGCGCCTGTACTTCCCCACGCGCCTGTACTTCCCCACGCGCCTGTACTTCCCCACGCGCCTGTACTTCCCCACGCGCCTGTACTTCCCCACGCGCCTGTACTTCCCCACGCGCCTGTACTTCCCCACGCGCCTGTACTTCCCCACGCGCCTGTACTTCCCCACGCGCCTGTACTTCCCCACGCGCCTGTACTTCCCCACGCGCCTGTACTTCCCCACGCGCCTGTACTTCCCCACGCGCCTGTACTTCCCCACGCGCCTGTACTTCCCCACGCGCCTGTACTTCCCCACGCGCCTGTACTTCCCCACGCGCCTGTACTTCCCCACGCGCCTGTACTTCCCCACGCGCCTGTACTTCCCCACGCGCCTGTACTTCCCCACGCGCCTGTACTTCCCCACGCGCCTCTGTACTTCCCCACGCGCCTGTACTTCCCCACGCGCCTGTACTTCCCCACGCGCCTGTACTTCCCCGTTCCCAATGGCCCAGTCTCCATGCATGCCCATGCCATCCCCAACCCCATTCCTCTCTTCCCCGCGCCCCCTCTACCCGTCTCCCCTTGTCCTTGCCCCCCCCTCTCCGCATCTCCCCATGCCCTCCCCCCCTCGCCCCTACCAGCGACCTGCATCAGAACCCCATCACCGGGCCGCTTCCCTCCTCCCTTGCCGCCCTCTCGCTGCTCACCCGACTGTGAGTCGTGCTAACGAGACTGTGAGTCGTGCTCACTACATGTTACTCGCTGAAAAGCTTACCGGTCATCACACGTGCTTGTAGTATCTCTGGTATCACCACACCAATTCATGCCACACCAATTCATTCCACACCAATTCATGCCACACCAATTCATTCCACACCAATTCATGCCACACCAATTCATTCCACACCAATTCATTCCACACCAATTCATTCCACACCAATTCATTCCACACCAATTCATGCCACACCAATTCATTCCACACCAATTCATGCCACACCAATTCATTCCACACCAATTCATTCCACACCAATTCATTCCACACCAATTCATTCCACACCAATTCATTCCACACCAATTCATTCCACACCAATTCATTCCACACCAATTCATTCCACACCAATTCATTCCACACCAATTCATTCCACACCAATTCATTCCACACCACCCACTCGTGCCACACCTGCAGGCTGCACCAGCTTTGCTGCCTGTCCCTCTCTCGTCGTCTCTCCCCACACCACCATCGCCTTCTCCTGCCTGCTCACTTCTTCCCATCACTCCCCCCCCCCCAATAGTCCTGCCCCCTCGCCCCCCTTTCCCCCTCCCCTCCTCTCTTCGCTCCCCCATCTCCCCCTTTCGTTCCCCCTCTCCCCGTGTGTCTGCGCTCACCAGCGATCTGCATGCTCTCGACTTCACGCCCGCCCCGCTGCCGCCCGCTCTTGGCGCCCTCTCCTCCCTCGTCTACCTGTGAGCGGCCCATCCCTCCTAGTCCTCCCTAGTCCTCCCCTCGCCCCCTCCTCGCCCCCTCTCGCCCCATCCTCGCCGCCTCCTCGCCGCCCCCTCGTGCCCCTTTGCCCCCCATTGGTGCTGCTCTCGCTGCCGGGGAGCGCTACCTCAAGGCGTCGCATGGAAGGTGGGCTCCACACAACACACGTCGCATGGAAGGTGGGCTCCACACAACACACGTCGCATGGAAGGTGGGCTCCACACAACACACGTCGCATGGAAGGTGGGCTCCACACAACACACGTCGCATGGAAGGTGGGCTCCACACAACACACGTCGCATGGAAGGTGGGCTCCACACAACACACGTCGCATGGAAGGTGGGCTCCACACAACACACGTCGCATGGAAGGTGGGCTCCACACAACACACGTCGCATGGAAGGTGGGCTCCACACAACACACGTCGCATGGAAGGTGGGCTCCACACAACACACGTCGCATGGAAGGTGGGCTCCACACAACACACGTCGCATGGAAGGTGGGCTCCACACAACACACGTCGCATGGAAGGTGGGCTCCACACAACACACGTCGCATGGAAGGTGGGCTCCACACAACACACGTCGCATGGAAGGTGGGCTCCACACGACACACGTCGCCTGCACGCATGGCAACGCATGGGGTACAGATTCCAAGCGAGCCTAGTGTAGGCTAAGACTGTGGTTGGTTTAGGAAGTGCCACCCCATGCCATCCCACCCCATGCCATCCCACCCCATGCCATCCCACCCCATGCCAACCCTTCCCATGCCATGCCACCCCATCCCATGCCATGCCATGCCATGCCATGCCATGCCATGCTATCCAATGCCATGCCATGCCATGCACCATCCCTCGTGGCACCGCATGCTGCGCGCCGTCAATCGCCCCCGTGGGCTCTTCCACTTGCCCCCCCTCACACCCGTCTGCCTCTCCCCTCCCCCGCATGGCCCTCGCCGCGCCCCCCCCCCCACGCCCTGCGTCACAGCGACCTGTCATACACGCAGCTCACCGGCCCTCTGCCCGCCTCCATCGCCAACCTCTCCGCCCTCAACTTCCTGTACGCCCCGCCCCGCCCCGCCCCCCCTTGCCCTCATACTGCCCTGCCCTGCCCTGCCGGCTCTTGTCCTGTCGCAGTGCTATGCCATGCTGTGCCTTGCTGTGCCATGCCTATGCCATGCCTATGCCATGCTGTGCCATGCCTATGCCATGCTGTGCCATGCCTATGCCATGCTGTGCCATGCCTATGTTAGGCCGTGCCATGCCGTGTCATGCCGTGCCATGCCGTGTCATGCCGTGTCATGCCGTGCCATGCCGTGTCATGCCGTGTCATGCCGTGCCATGCCGTGTCATGCCGTGCCATGCCGTGCCATGCCGTGCCGTGCCATGTGGTGCCATGCTGTGCCATGCTGTGCCATGCCGTGCCATGCCGTGCCATGCTGTGCCATGCCGTGCCATGCCGTGCCATGCCGTGCCATGCCGTGCCATGCTGTGCCATGCTGTGCCATGCCGTGCCATGCCGTGCCATGCTGTGCCATGCCGTGCCATGCCGTGCCATGCCGTGCCATGCCGTGCCATGCCGTGCCATGCTGTGCCATGCCGTGCCATGCCGTGCCATGCCGTGCCATGCTGTGCCCCTGACCCCCTTGACTCCTCTCGCGCCACCAACGCAACATCATGCGTACTGCTGCATGATCCCCCCCTCCCTTCACCCTCTAAATGCACACCCCACACCACCGTACTGTACCATGCCATGCCATGCCGTGCCCTGCGTTGCCATGGATTTCCATGCCATCCCAAACCATCCCATGCCATGTACACCACACCACACCACACCACACCACACCACACCACACCACACCACACCACACCACACCACCTACACCCCTGGACCCGTGCAGCTCGGTGGACGGCAACGCCCTGACGGGCTCCATCGACATCTTCCCGCCCAACTCCTCCCTCCAAGCCATGTGAGTCCACGCCATGTGAGTCCAAGCCATGCGAGTCCAAGCCATGTGAGTCCAAGCCATGTGAGTCCAAGCCATGTGAGTCCAAGCCATGTGAGTCCAAGCCATGTGAGTCCAAGCCATGCGAGTCCAAGCCATGTGAGTCCAAGCCATGTGAGTCCAAGCCATGCGAGTCCAAGCCATGTGAGTCCAAGCCATGTGAGTCCAAGCCATGTGAGTCCAAGCCATGTGAGTCCAAGCCATGTGAGTCCAAGCCATGTGAGTCCAAGCCATGTGAGTCCAAGCCATGTGAGTCCAAGCCATGCGAGTCCAAGCCATGTGAGTCCAAGCCATGTGAGTCCAAGCCATGTGAGTCCAAGCCATGCGAGTCCAAGCCATGTGAGTCCAAGCCATGTGAGTCCAAGCCATGTGAGTCCAAGCCATGTGAGTCCAAGCCATGTGAGTCCAAGCCATGTGAGTCCAAGCCATGTGAATCCAAGCCATGTGAATCCAAGCCATGTGAATCCAAGCCATGTGAATCCAAGCCATGTGAATCCAAGCCATGTGAGTCCAAGCCATGTGAGTCCAAGCCATGTGAGTCCAAGCCATGTGAATCCAAGCCATGTGAATCCAAGCCATGTGAATCCAAGCCATGTGAATCCACCGCATGTGAGTCCAGCGCATGTGAGTCCAGCGCATGTGAGTCCAGCGCATGTGAGTCCAGCGCATGTGGTATCCTTTCTCTCACCTTCCCGCCCATGCCCCCCCCCTTCACCCCCCCCCCCGCGGCAGTCTAGCGGGGCACAACCAGCTGCAGGGGTCGGTGCCGGACGTGGCGCTGCACCCGCGGCTGCGCCTGCTGTCACTGCACGACAACAACCTCACTGGCCCCGTGCCCGCCGCCGACCTCAACTCGTCCACCACCACCGTCGTGTCAGTGCCCTCTCTCCCCAACCCACCCCAACCCATACCTTGCCCTGCTTCTGCCACTCCCCCACTCATCCCCACCCGCCCTTGCCTCTGCCGGTCCACCAGGCAACCGCCTCGCCGCACACTCATTCCGTGCGAGTCCATTGTCCTGTCTTGTGTAGCACAAGCTCTCCACAAGCTCCTCATCCCCACACCCGCCACCCCCCCTTCCCCCTTCCATTCCCAGCCTGGCGGGCAACCCGCTGTGCACATCAGCCAAGTATTACCGCACTTGCAACGTGTGGCAGCAGCGGCGCCTGTGCACGCTACCGTGCAGCGGCAGCGGGGAGAGCCCCAGCCCCGTGGAGTACGTGCGCTCGCAGGCGTGCGTGTGCGCGCTGCCCCTCGTCGTGCGCCTGTTCCTGCAGAACCCCTCCTACACGCTCTTCAACGCTGAGTACGCCGACCTCTTTCAACGCGACGTGGAGACGCAACTGCAGCTGCAGGAGGGGCAGGTGGGTGGATGAGAAGGGGCTGGTGGGTGAGGAAGAGGGGAAGGGGGGCCGAAGGGTGTGCGGAGGGGTAGGAGGGTTCGTCCACCTTCCTTGTCATTCGTTCCCCCTTGCATTCTTGCGTCTTGGTGCCATGCCCACCCCCTCACCTCACGCACTCCCCTCTTGTATCCAGTGTGGACGAGAGGGGAGTGCGTGAGATGAGGGGGTGGGCATGGGAGAGAGTGCAGTGCAGTGCAGGGTGCACCGTTCGCAGCAACCCCAATCGCAGCACCTCACCCCCGCCACCACACCTATTCTTCCCCTCTGTCACCTGCACATACTACCCACTCACTCATGCGGACCATTTGGTCTCCCCGCCCAACCACATACATGTGTGCGTGGCTGTGTGCGAGCAGGCGTGGTTGGACAGTGTGAGTCAGCGCGAGGACAACCTCGAGGTCGCCACGCTGCGCCTCTACCCCGCCCAGGTGAGCCACGCTGCGCCTCTACCCCGCCCAGGTGAGCCACACCTTGCCTTTGCACCAAATCACACGCATGGATGAATGCTGGATGCGCACCAACTTGATCTCACTGACCCGATTGTAAGCACGCTCACTACAAGGCATGCCCGTGCACTCCCTGCCTGTGTGCTTCCTCTCTGCCTCCATAGCCCCTGCTCCCGCTTGCCAACCATGCCTCTCCACCACGCCTTTCCCCCCTTCACGTTTTTATGCCTCTCCTCCCGCTTTTCACATCCCCTCCCAGTTGAACCGTTCTTCTCCTCCGCCCCCCCCCCCCTTCTTCCCCACCCTTTCTCCCCACCCTACACCCCACTCCCTCCCTCCCCCCTGGTCAGGCGGATGCACCATGGACGGAGGAGCAGAGGGGCCAGCTGTATGGGGCGTTGGGGGGCCTCACCCGCCTCAGCGCCATCTTTGGAGGCATCACGTTCGGTGAGTGCCAGGCTCGGCAGTCACGTTCGGTGAGTGCCAGGCTCGGCAGGAGTGAGAGGCAGGCTTGGATTGGCAGGGGTGAGAGGCGTTTTGTTTGCCACACCCGCCTGTCCTGGGCTGTGCTGGCCTGCAATATCGGTCGTGCCGTAGAGTTGCCCACTCTCCTTGCCTCCTGGCGGCCGAATCTCCCTCCTTGTGCCCCCCCTACTCCTACAAGCCATCATTCGCTCCTCCTACACCCACACACAATCACTTGCTCCTGCCACTTCCTCTATTGTCTCACTCACCCTTTCCCTTCACTTACCTACTCTATCTGCCACACCGTGCTCCCCGCCCGCCCGCCCTCTCGCCCTCCCTCCCCGCAGATGGCCCACCACCCCCACCAGTGCCCAGCCCGCCCCCGCCCCCTCCCACGCTGGCAGTCACCACTGAAAGCAGTACGCCCCCCCCCTCCCTGCCGCTCCTGCCACTGCCTCTCCTAAGCCGTGTGCTTCCTTCCCACTCTTCCCTCATCCCAATATTCACTCCTTGCACTCTTTACTCATCCCAAGTTTCACCCCTTGCACTCTTTACTCTCCCCACTTTTCATTCCTTGGACTCGTTACTTATTCCACTCTGCAATCTACTCTCCCTCCTCCGTCCGTCTCCCTTCCCGCTTCCTTCCTCCTCCCTCCCCCTCCCTCCTGCCTCCCCGTGTCCCCCAGAGAGCACGTTCCCAGTGTGGGCCATTGTGGTCACGGCCGTGGGGCTGCTGTGCTTTGGCGCCTCGCTGCTGCTGCTGCTGCTCTGGCTACGCCACCAACGCAGACGCCAGATGCTCCGTGAGTGCCGCCCGCATGCTCAGTGAGTGCCGCCCGCATGCTCAGTGAGTGCCGCCCGCATGCTCAGTGAGTGCTGGCCGGATGCTGAGAGTAGGAAGGACCAGACGGATCGGTATGAGAGTTGTGGTGTGTAAGGGGCAGGAGTGGCTTGCGGGAGCAGCGTGCTGTGAGCTGTGGAGAAGCAGCAAGAGCCCATCTCGTCGCAAACCCTTTGCGCGAGCCCCTGCTGCACCTGGCCCCCTTGCTTGTGCCCAATGCAATAAATGCAGTTACTAACCTCGAGCTCCTTCTCACCCTGCTGTGGTTCCCTCAGCCAACGCTAACCCTGCTCGTGCCGATGCCGCGAACGTCAATCCCCCTCCCACCCACCGCAGGACCCACCAAGTCGAAGCTGACGATGCGCCTGCAGGAGCAGTTTGTGCGCCCCATCGCGCTGGCGGAGATCGAGGCCGCCACCGACTCGTTCGCGGAGTCACGGCTGCTGGGCGCGGGCGGGTACGGGTCGGTGTACCGCGGGGACGGGCCCAACGGGGAGGAGTGGGCCGTGAAGCGCGCGCAGGTCGCCACTGTGCAGTCCATGGGCGTGTTTCAGAACGAGGTCAGTCCATGGGCGTGTTTCAGAACGAGGTGCGCAGGGGATGAGGCGTGCAAAGGGATTGCAAGGTATCGTTAGCGGAATCGCCCCTCCCGTCCCCGCATCCGTCCTGTTTTCCATCCGCCTCCATTGTATTTGCACCGCTCCTACTCGTCGCCCTCGTGGCCTTTTCTTCCACTCACCTGCTGCCTTTCGTCAATTTCCACCCTCCCTTCCCCCGCCCTCCACCCCCCCCTGTCCTTCTCCTCTATATCCTGCTCTCCCTCCTCCCTGCTCCTCCCACCCCCCATGTCCCACTCGCCACACATCACCACCGTGCTACAATCTCCATGATTTGGATGGATCCTCCTAGAATTCCCTCCTCCTTTCATCTTATCCACCCAACCCCTCCTAGCTAGCTATACTTATGACCACGTACCTCTCTGTCAAATCAATGCAGGCATTTCATGCCATGCTCAGAATGTGTTGCCGCCCTGCCCTGCCCTCCACGTGCCCTCCACGTGCCCTCCACGTGCGCGTGATACCACCACAAGCCCCACGCGCCCACCACGTTGCCTTGCAAGCCTCTAACCACCTGCGCGCCCCCTCCCGTCCCGGATGGCCTCCCACGCCCTCCCTCCACACACCCTTTCCACCAGGTGGGCGTGAACATCAGCCATGATTCGCCGCAACCTGATAGCGCTGCTTTGACACGCGTCAACCACCCAACCCTCCCCTATCATTGCCCTCCCCCTCCCTGTCCTTACCCACCCCCTCCTTTGCCCGCCAGGTGGATGTGATATCGGCCATGAGTCACCGCAACCTGATAGCTCTGCTGGGGTACTGCGAGGACAAGGGCGAGCAGATCCTCGTCTACGAGTTCGCCGCCCATGGCACCCTCTCCGCCCACCTGCGCCCGCCAGCTGGTGAGCGCCACTTCATGGGTGGGTGTGATGTGAGGCCGCTGCCACGGGCATGTGTGTGTGGGTGCATGAGTGGGTGGGTGGGTGCATGAGTGGGTGAGTGGGTGGGTGGGTGTCGCGTGCACGAGTGACATTGTGCACGGACTGCCTCTGCACCAGTTGTGGCAATGATCCCTGGGCAGCACTGTGGGGCGTTGTGCCTCTACTCTTTTCTCGCCCTCTATTCCCCTCCCCTCTTAATCCACCCTTCATCCCCTTACTTGCCTCCCTGTACTTCCTCTGCTTTCTTCCCTCCCCTCCCCTCCCCGTCCTTTCCGGATCTTCCCCATCCGTCCCTCCCCCCACCCACCCCTCCGCCCACCCGCCCGTGTGAGCAGACAAGCCAACGCCCCCTCTAACGCTGCAGCAGCGCGTGGAGGTGGCGCTGGGGGCGGCGCAGGGGCTGTTCTACCTGCACTCCTTCGCACGCCCGCCCGTCATCCACCGCGACGTCAAGTCCGGCAACATCCTGCTGGACAGCGACATGCAGGTGTGGTGGGGAAAGGGGGAAAATTCTGCTGCGGGGGGGAACTTGCAGGTGGGAGAGGGTATTGCAGGTGGGAGGGGAGGAAGGAGCATGTGGGGGGAAAGGGGCATGCAGGTGGGGATATAAGTTGGGGGCGAAGGGGCCTTGTGGGATAGGATACACAGTTACGGGAGGTGCACGTGTGCAGGGTTGACATGTCCCACTGTGCACGTGTGCAGGGTTGACATGTCCCACTGTGCACGTGTGCAGGGTTGACATGTCCCACTGTGCACGTGTGCAGGGTTGACATGTCCCACTGTGCACGTGTGCAGGGTTGACATGTCCCACTGTGCACGTGTGCAGGGTTGACATGTCCCACTGTGCACGTGTGCAGGGTTGACATGTCCCACTGTGCACGTGTGCAGGGTTGACATGTCCCACTGTGCACGTGTGCAGGGTTGACATGTCCCACTGTGCACGTGTGCAGGGTTGACATGTCCCACTGTGCACGTGTGCAGGGTTGACATGTCCCACTGTGCACGTGTGCAGGATTGACATGTCCCACCGTGCCCATGCTCCACTGTCGCCGGCTTGAAGGTCCGAGGTTGTTCCCCACACCACTCACGCTGTGTGGCCCTTATCCCCCTCCGCCCTTCCCAACGTCTGCCCCGCTACGTGTCCCCCTTCCTTCCCCTCCCCTTCTCCATGCGCGCGTGTGCGAGCAGGCGAAGGTGGCGGACTTTGGGCTTCTGAAGGCGTCCAAGGGCGAGGGCGTGGCGCACAGCACGCAGGTGGCGGGCACACCGGGGTACCTGGACCCTGAGTACTACTCCGCCTTCAAAGTCACCGCCAAGAGCGACGTCTACAGGTGCGAGGGCTCTGGTACCTTCACGCCTGGTGGTACAGCTGGTGGTTTGGTTGGGCATGCTCAAGTGTGATGGGAATACCCCATGCCACACCGGGATACCTGGACCCGGAGTACTACTCCGCCTTCAAGGTCACCGCCAAGAGCGACGTCTACAGGTGCGCCCCGCCGTGACTTTTGAGTCATCCCAAACGTCAAGAGCGACGTCTACAGGTGCGTGCGTGCTGCTCCCGCCGTGACTTTTGAGTCGACTCAAAAGCCAAGAGCGACGTCTACAGGTGCGTGCTGCTCCCGCCCAGGCACTTCCGTCTTTATTCTCATGCACGCTCTGCGCCGTGCCCCGCATGCTGTGCTTTTTGCTGATGCACTCCCCTATGCACCCGCACGCCCCCAATGCTCGCGTGCAGCTTCGGCGTTGTGCTGCTGGAGATCCTGACGGGGCTGCCACCCATCTTTGCCCACTCCCCTCTGTTCCCCCCCCCCCCTCCCCCCCCCCCCCCCCCCCCCCCCCCCCCCACACTCCCCACTTACCCCCCTCATCCCCCCTGTGCACGCATGTGCAGCTTCGGAGTGGTGCTGCTGGAGATCCTGACGGGGCTGCCGCCCATCTTTGAGAGCCTCGACGCCAATGAGTCCACGGATGGGGAGAGGCAGATGACCAGCCTGGCCAGATGGGTGAGAGGCGAGAGGGGTGAGAGGCGAGATGGGTGAGAAGCGTCTTGGTGGGATGGGCACAAAGAATCAAATCCTTCTCTTCCTGCACTCAGTTTGCCTCAGTCCTTGTCACCCTCCTCTCGGCTTACCTCAGCCCTTCTCACCCTCCTCTCAGCTTGCCTCAGCCCTTCTCACCCTCCTCTCGGCTTGCCTCAGCCCTTCTCACCCTCCTCTCGGCTTGCCTCAGCCCTTCTCACCCTCCTCTCGGCTTGCCTCAGCCCTTCTCACCCTCCTCTCGGCTTGCCTCAGCCCTTCTCACCCTCCTCTCAGCTTGCCTCAGCCCTTCTCACCCTCCTCTCGGCTTGCCTCAGCCCTTCTCACCCTCCTCTCGGCTTGCCTCAGCCCTTCTCACCCTCCTCTCGGCTTGCCTCAGCCCTTCCCGTTCCTCCCGCAGCTGCACTCTGCTCCCACCTCGCTCGTCTTCTTGATGCCCTTCCTCCTCCTCCTTCCCCCACGTTTCTCACTTTCCCTCCCCTCCTGCCACTCCTATCCTCCCCCTTCGCCCCTCTCCGCAGTGTGCGCCGTACGTGCAGACGGGCAACGTGGCCAAGATAGTGGACCCGCGCCTGGGCGCCGACTACCCGGTGGACATAGTAAAGGCCATGGCGGAGGTGGCTATGGCGTGCGTGCAGCGCCACAGCAAGAACCGCCCCGACACGGGCGAGGTGGTGCGGCGCCTGGGGGACATCCTCGCTCGCCTCACGGGCGACGAGAGCGCCGCCACACTGGGCCACCTGCGGTCGCAGAGCTCGAATGTGGGCGCCATTGCCATTCCGGAGGACGGGGAGATCGATCCGAACATTGCGCTGGTGGGGAACATGGAGGGGCCGTATGATGAGAGCACTGCCGCGATGTCGCAGATTATCCCGCGCTGAGTGATTGTCATGTTCATGCCACAACAGCATTGCTACCACTTCACGTCTTGGTTGTATTTATCCCAGCAAATGTACCGTATAACCCCGGATATAAGCCCCCCCCCCGATTTTTGGCCCCGGGAATTATAATGAGGCAATGGGGCAATAAGACCTATGCCGATTACACGCCCCGTCCTCTTTTTGGAAAAAAAAATGATACAGCAATCTGTCAAATCGTAAACATGCATGTTAGTTTGTTAGGCTATAGTGAGGTGCTCTTTAGAGAGCACAACCCTTTTAGGGTTGCCTATTTGTATCTCATCTTTGCTAGTCACATCCATTCCGCTGTTCCTACTTTGACATGGTATCATCTTAGCCTATCTACCTCCCTAGCTCGTTCCTAGAGCCAGCCCGCCAGCCAGCAGCCAGCCAGCCGTCAGCCAACCGCCAGCCCGCTAGCGCGCGCCGCCAGCGAAGCACGCAGCCCGCCAGCTGCAAGCGCCAGCCGCGCGCACTGCTAGCGCGCGCCCCGCAAAACGCACGTCAGCAGCGCACGCCGCTTGCACACACCCCGCCAGCCTCGGGCACACACTAGTAGCACGCGATGCCTGCGTGCGCCCCGCCACCCGAGCAGCCCGTGCTGTCCACGCAGCCCGAGCAGCCCGCGCCCGCGCAGCTCGAGCAGCATGCGCAGCCCACGCACCCCGCACACCCTGCCTCGCTATCAGCGCTCCGCCAGCCATCGCGCGCCCCCCCACTGCCTAGCGCGCCCCGCTTACCTACCCGCTAGTGCCTTCCTGCCGCCACACACCATTCCTTTCGCTGGTGACACTCCCCGCAGCGGCTGGAGGCCGCGCTCTCTTTTTACTGGCGCCGTTTTGAGGTTTTCGAGATAGACGTTCCTAGCTTCCTCTTCCTGACGCCGTTTTAGGGTTTTCACGCCGTTCCTAGCCTGCCGTCCCTAGCCCGTTGTTTCTAGCCTGGCGCTCCTAGCCTGCCGCTCCTAGCCTGGCACTCCTAGCCTGCCGCTCCTAGCTTGGCATTCCTAACCAGCCGTTCCTGGCCAGCCGCTCCTATGTCCAACTAGCTTTCACCATGGCGACCCCTAAATTTCTGCGTTTTGACGCAGAGGGCCGGGCGATAGACTTTAGCACCTGGCTACTGCACGCCGAGCTGTACCTCTAGAGCCAGCGCCAGGACAGTGACACGTTCTTCGCTCACACGTCGGGTGACTTGCCTGCCCCCGAGCGTCCCACCCCGCTCTCTTCTGCGCTCACCGAGGCCGACCGAGAGCGGCTTACTGCGCTGCGCAAGGAGTACTCGGTGTGGCTGCCTCGTGACGCTTCGGCTCGTCTCGCTCTCAGCAGCCTCCTCCCAGAGGCAGAGGGAGTCCACTTCAGCCAGGTCAAGACAGCGAAGGAATGCTTTGACGCTATTATCTCTCGCTATTCTACTCCTTCCTCCGCCTCCCTTGGCCGCCTCTTCATGCCTTTCTTCTTCCCAGACCTTGTCGCGCTTGAGATTACTGCTGACTTAGTCACTCACCTGCGCTCTCTCGACGCTAGCTACCATGCTTGCTGTACCACGGCCCAGCTCACTAGCCACCCCCCCGCCTATGTTTGCCATGCTCTACTTTATTGTCGCACGCATCCCTGACCTTCTTGCGTCTGCACGCGGCGCGCTTCTCCGTCTGCACCCCATTGCGCTTACTATCGAACTCATTGTGACCACTCTCAATGAGATCGAGAGTAACCTCCGCTCCGTTGCCTCTGCTACTGCCGTAGTACTTCCTCGTCTCTTTGAGGGGTGTGCTGTTTCCACCTTCACTGCTTCTCTTGCTGCCGCTGCGTCCTCTGCTTCTAAGGAGACTGCAGCTGTTTCTGCCACTAGTTGGCAGAAATGGGGCAAGGGAGGTAAGAAAGGGGGTAAGGGTGGTGGTAGTGGAGGGGGTGGAGGTGGAGGTGGTGGAGGTGCTGGTACGTCAGGAGGAGGTGGCTCTGGAGGCGATGCAGGGCCTGCGGGTCCGACCGGAGGGGGTACCGGCCCTGGGGGTGGGGCGGGTGCCCAGCAGCCGCCGCAGCCACAGCAGCAGCAGCAACAGCCGCCGCAGGTGCAGCTTCAGTAGCAGGTGCAGCACCAGGTACATGTCAAACTATAATTATATAGTTTGGTTAGTTCTAGTCTAGGTGTATTCCGTTTGTCCTATGTTTAGAGTTAGCCTTGGCCTATATCTTGTTTGTACTTTCACTTCTAGTTCATTCATTCTTCAGTTACTCTTGTCAGACTGCAGGCCGAGGTAGTGCTGCAACTCACCAAGGTCAGTGCAAGTGTGTCTCCTCTGCAGTTCCTCCTTCACGGAGGCTAGTGTTGTGCGGTCGGGAGTGGCGAAGACCAAGTCGTCGACGTAAACTAGAACAAAGAACGGGGTCGAGGTACAGCGGACGAACAGCGACGGGTCGGCAGATGACGAAAAGAAACCAAGTGCTGCAAGGGTCGTACGAAGCGTGTCGTGCCACTCGCGGGGAGCCTGGCGCAGGCCGTAGACCGGTCGACGCAGCTGCCACTGAGTCCCAGCAGGGAAAGGGCCAGTGAAACCAGGCGGACGACGCAGCCAGATCTGCTCGTGCAGGCTCCCCCGAAGGAACGCTGTGGAGAATTCCAAGGAGTGCAACTCGTAGTCGCGCTGGGCTGTAACGTGCAGCAATGCCCGAAGAGTGGTCATCTTTGGGGTGTGAGCGAAGGTCTGGAAGAAGTCTACCCCCTCTCGTTGACTGAAGCCTCGCGCCACGTAGCGCGCCTTGAACACCGGTGGTGATCCAGGCAGCTGCTTCACCTTATAGAGCCACATGCCACTCACGGCGTTCGCCCCAAGTGGTGGGACTGCGTCGACGTAGGTGCCAGTGGACCTATAAGATGCCATCTCTGCCTCCTCAGCTGCTATCCAGTACGGGGCGTAAGGTCCCGCGACCGCCTCCGCGTGAGTGCGAGGGGTGGGGATGTCAAGGGCGTCTGGATCCCGCTTAGGGGCAAGCAGCATGGCGCAGAGATGAGGAACGGCGACTGCAAGGAAACCAAGCTCGAACTGCATGTCCTCCAGGACCTCCAAGGGAATGACACAAACACCCCAAGTGAACGGAGAACGAGCAGGGCCACTCACCAGGTGAGGGGCGTAGTCAAAGCGGTGGGACGAGGCAAAGGCACTGACAGTGTTGACCAGGGCTGAGACAGACAACGGAGGAGCAGTCGGGTGTGCGACCAACGAGGACAGAACACGAGAGACCTTGGGACGAGAAGCACGACGAGAGTCTGAAACCGGGTCGGGCGGAACAGGAAGAGACGACTCAGGGGGCGACGGGGAGACTCGAATGGGGTGGAACACGAGGACGGAGAGTGAGGTGAAACAGCCCGTTGGCACGGTAACGGGACGGACGAGATTCTGGGGACACATCACGACTAAGAGGAGTACGACGAGACCATGGGTACAGGGTGGGGCGGCGGGTACAGGGTGGGGCGGCGGGGAGGGGCCGGGGAGGCAACGGGAAAACGGTGGGGAGGGGACGGGGAGGCGACGAGATAGGGACGAGGAGGCGACGGGAAGGGGACGGGAGGCAACGGGGATGCGACGCGGAGGGCGACGGGGACGCAACGGGGAGGGGACGGGAGGCGACGGAAACGAGACGGGAAGGGGACAGGAGGCGACGGGGACGCGACGGGAAGGGGACGGGGGACGACGGGGAGGGGACGGGGTCGCGACGTGGGGGGACCCGCGGTTGTCTCTTTCTAGCGCGATCTGGCGGGCCCGCGGGGGCGGTTCTAGGTCGCGACGTGGGGGGGCCCACGGGGGTCCCTTTCTAGCTCGATCTGGCGGGCCCGCGGGGGCCGTTCTAGGTCGTGACGTGGGGGGACCCGCGGAGGTCCCTTTCTAGCGCGACCTGGCTGTCCCACGGGGGCCGTTCTAGGTCGTGACGTGGGGGGAACCACGAGGGTCTCGCTAGCGCGCGATTCGACGGGGAGGTGCGGGGCACGGAGGGGTGACGGGGCGCTACGGGTAACGGGGTGCTAACGGGCGGGTGCGGGGCGGTGGGCCCATAGGATTATTCTCGCTCAATACCATGTCACAAGAGTAACTGAAGAATGAATGTACTAGAAGTGAAAGTACAAACAAGATATAGGTCAAGGCTAACCCTAAACCTAGGAGAAATGGAATACACCTAGACTAGAACAAACCAAGCTATATAATTATAGTTTGTCATGCAGATCACCAGGGACAGGGCAGCTCGCACCATTACGCTGACGCAGTCGCATATGGTCGAGCAGATCCTCACGCGGTTTCGCTTCCCGTTCTCCAAGGTACAGCTCACCCCTCTTGCTGTGGATCATGGGCTCATTGCTCCACATTCGGACGAGTCATTTGAGTCCAGTGGTCCATATTCCGAGTTGGTGGATTGTCTCATGTACCTGATGACCTGTACTCGCCCAGACCCTGCTTTCCCTCTCAGCGTCCTGGCGCGCTTTGTTGCGCCTGGGAGACACCGACCTTCTCACTGGTTGTCTGCTAAGAGGGTGCTGAAGTATGTGGCGAGCACATCAGGCATGGGACTCGTCCTTGGAGGGAAGCAGCCAGTTACACTCACAGGTTTCTCGGACTCGTCGTACGCAGACTGTGGCCAGCCGTACAGGTCTACTCAGTGTTATTGCTTCAGCCTTGGACCGGAGCTGTCTCGTGGAGGACGACTCGGGCGTCGTCCGTCGCTAGCTCCAATTGTGAGGCAGAGGTGTACGCTGCGGCCATGCCCGCCCAGGAGCTTCGCTTGCTGTCTTTCCTCCTCACCGACCTTGGTGAGCGACCTCGCTCTCCCCCAGTCTTGTTCGCTGACAACAGGCCTGCTATCCTGTTGTGCGAGGAGCCTCGACTGGTTGGGAAGGCGAAGCACATCCAGCCTCGTTACTTCCTTCTACGCGAGTTACAGCAGCGTGGCCATGCCCGCGTTGTTCGTGTGGTCTCTGAAGCCAACGCTGCA